GTGATGTGGGGGGTTTAAGTCCAACTAGGAACGTAAGTGTAGAGGAGATGGTGGTGATGTTCTTGAGTATTCTAAGTCATGATGACAAAAATAGACCAGTGTAGTTCAATTTTCTTCGTTCGGGGGAAATTGTTAGCCGTCATTTCAACAATGTGCTTACGACGGTTTTGAGGCTACGTAGGTTATTGCTTCAGTCCCCTGATCCTGTACCGGTGAATAGTCCAGACAATAAATGGAAATGGTTTTCGGTAAGCACTTAATTTTATACAACTTTAAAAATTGTTTAATATGAGTATTACAGTACAATTTATTAGGTTTTATTACTTGATTGAAGATATAAAAAAAAATTTACACAATTTTCTGTGTAGAATTGTGTGGGTGCATTAGATGGCACGTATGTTCCTGCCCGAGTACCTCTTGTCCATCAAGCTAGATATAAAACACGTAGAGGAGGTATAACAACAAATGTGTTGGGGGTATGTGCACCGAACATGAAATTTATTTACGTGCTTCCTGGCTGGGAGGGGTCAGTAGTTGATTCTAGGATATTGCAGGATGTTGTTCTCTAGGCCAAATGGGTTAAAGGTAGCACGTGGTAAGTACAATATCTAAATAATGGAGTGTACAACAAAAATTATATATGAATAAACGTTACATAATTTGGATTCATTTAACCAAATATTGTTAACACAACACAGGGACGTACTACCTAGTTGATGCGGGATATACAAATGGGGAGGGTTTTTTAGCGCCATTTCGGGGTCAACGGTATCATATCCAAGAATTTGGAGCTGGTTCTGTCGCACCCCGAAATCCCAAAGAATTGTTTAATTTGAGGCATTCTGCGGCAAAGACAAGCATTGAGAGATGTTTTACATTGCTTAAAAATAGATGGGCGATTCTTAGGGCACCGTGCTACTATCTAGTACGCACTCATAATGTATCATAGCTGCATGTTGTTTGCTATATAACTTAATAAGAAATAAAATGAGTTTTGACCCATTAGAGGAGGACTTGCCCGAAGTAATTCCTGTTGAGGGTGAACATGCGGATGAAGTCATAGGCAGTGTGGAGACATCAACTGAATGGTCTTTGTTTCGCAATCACATGACATTGGAAATGTACAACGAATGGAGAAGTACTCGTGGTTAATTTGTGTAACTGCATGCAATTGTATTTGTATGTTCACTACTATTTGCCTAAACAAATTTTACTACCTTGTTATTGCGTGCAACGAACATTATATTCTTACTTTGTATTAGTGATGTCAATTGTAATTTTTAATTTTTTTGAATTGTATGTTTAAAATTTGTGGAATCAATGTAAGATGGTGGTTGTGTTTTACTCGTAGATTGGACCGTTAACGTACAGGAAAAAAATTGTCGTTTATTTGTTGTTGTGTTTTGAATTTGACGTAGACAATATTAGACACACTAGCGTCTGGTACACAATCAGAGAAAGGTGTACGGAGGATGTGGACTATGGCTGAAGAGCATCAGCTTATAATGTCGTTGGAGGAAATGTGCGTCAATGGTTGGAAGTGCCAGAATGGCACATTCAGACCTGGATATTTACAAACCTTGGAGAACAGTTTGAAAGTTGCAATTCCAAGTTGCCAACTGCATGCTTCACCTCATATCAAGTCGAAGCTGAAAATCTGGAAAAAAAATTACAACTCCCTTTTTACTATGATGTCTACTTCAGGCTTTGGGTTTGACAGTACCGAAAATAAGATACTTGTTGATGGTGACGACATTTGGAACGACTATCTGAAGGTGATACTCATAACACCCACTTTTGTGTTAGGTTATATGCTAATACTAACACAAATAATGTAGTTACACAAAAAATTTGATATACTGTCCTCATATGGTGTAGAAGGACCAAAATGCAAAAGGCATGCAAGAGAAATCGTGGCCTTACTTCAATGACTAGGGAGTCATATTTGGTAAGGACCGAGCAACTTGGGAGTACGCTATCGATATTGAAGACATGGTAGGCAATTTCGAGGCGGAAGCGTCAATGCGAGAAGTTGATAGCATGGATGCATAGATTCCGATACAAAATAATGTACCGACGTCCGGTAGTACAACACATGACGTTGATCAACCACCTCATATGAAACCAAGTGTTGCCTCCCCATCTTCAACCAAGAAAAAGAAAGCTAAAGTGAGTGGGAATGCATCTGAGGCAATTGCAAAGAGTTTGGGAGACATATCCAAGGTTTTTGGTGAATATGTTCAAGAAAGTCAGAAGCAACTAGACATTATTGCACATCGAGTAGGGTACATGCATGATGTTGCTGATGCTAGAAAGAGAGTAAATGAAGAACTTGAGAAGATAGAAGGTATATCCATAGTTGATCGTCATGTATCACTGTTTAAGATTTGTTCTAACCCTGTGAAGGTTGACATATTTTTTAACTTGCCTACGCATGAGAGACCTGCAAGGGTTGGTGGATTACTGTGGAACACAACACATCCATGATGTATATCGATTAAACATGTGGGAGACATGTCCAAAAAACAAATAGTTCGGAATGGTGTTAATATGTGAATATTTAAAATGCTATGTATGTTGGTAGGTAAACATTACTTGGTAAGAGACAATGTGGTACTATCATGATGCATCATGTTTTGCACTAACCCACCAAAGTCTTTTTTCTGGGACTTTATAGTTTATATATCAATGTCACAAGACATGTATTTGGTGGAATAGTTGTTGTGATGTAGTAAACATGTTTTGGTAGTGTATTTGATGGTCATTTACATATGGTGTATGAAATATTGCATTTAATGTTAGGTAATATAAATGTAAGTAGCATTGAGTAGTAGCAGTAACAACTTTTTTATTGTTGTGCAAGAAGCTATGACCAGGAACCAAAGGTCGTACGTTGTGTTTCTTGGACGACGGACCGAAATTTATTAGTCATGGGTTGAGTGTCATTCACATGTCAATAAATACCCAAGTGCACTGTACAAATCTTATGATTCGTACAATGATGCGGCAACTACATTTGCCATGCACAATGCAACGCAAGTAGTACCACCTGAACGAGAAGTAGCAAATGACATGGATGTCCATGAAATTGGACCTTTAGAAAATTTTATTCAAGAACGGCCAATGGATAATAATGAACAACATGTTGTACTGGAACATAGCGGGTACAAGCGTGACATCATTTGGTGCAAGATTAGTGTAGTAATGTTTATATTGGGTATCGTCCTCACTCATATTGTGTACTTGGTTATGGGTAGAGTTGGTTGATTTTATGTTTTTGAATTAATGATTTTCCGTATCATTATGAAGAACTTAGGAGAATGCCTAATGTTTGTAAGTGAAATGGTTTTTGGATTTTAAGTGGAACATTTATATGGTTGTGATGTAATATCATGTTTGCGGATTTGAAGTACTTATGATTGTCTATGCATTGTGTAGAAATACTATCAACTGTTGAATATTATTTATATTGTTGCATTTACCATAAATCATATTCATATTGTTCTAATGAATGATTGTTATGATTGTAGTGCTTAAATGAAGATACCAAAAATAACTGAGTATGAGACAGTTGTTTTGATAGACACATTGATAGATTACAAAAATAAAGGAAAGTTACCTCCTTTTGGGAGGTACGACACAAAATTGATAGACGGGATGTTGGCCACGTTGAATCGACGAATGACAATGTTCAGTTTGTCCTTCACCGAGCTCATTAGGATAATATTTTTTGGGAGAGACAATATCATACGATAAGTAAGATGGTTAACAGTCGTTTATTTGAATGGGATCCTATAACAAAATGTGTGGTGCACAACCCAGCCATACATCGGGCAAATAAATTCTTGGAAGTTATATGTTTTCCACCTTTAGTACGTACATGTTTTAACTACGTGCATGTTCATTACACATCAAATTAACACATGCTTCAAATTTACACATGTAGGAAGATGAGTTCGCAGCGATGTACTGCCTTGCATCATGCAAAAATTATCAATATTTTGACATTATATTCAAACGAGATGAAGCTAGTTCAAGCAATCAAGAATTTAACAGTGTTGGGTCTTCCCCGTCAGTCAATTCTCCAAGCCAAGTCGATGTTATAGTCATCGATTATTGATTTGGCCCACAATGATTATGTCCAAGATTCGCAGTTAATATGTAACCAATGTGTAGTTGTTTTGTGTATTAGACTTGGTAAATCTCACAACTCATTTTGGTAACTACGCGACTTCGCTTGTGGTTGTGTATGATGTAGTAAATATGTGTGTAAATGTCTTTAACTTACAATTTCAAATATGTTGCATTTATTTTGTTTGTATAGGTTAAGGCAACTGTTTAAATGGACATTGACTGTATGGTGTATGACGTACAATGCCTTATAATTGTGTGTGTTTTTATGTATAACGCAATGGTTCATTAATTATAATGTTCATGTTCATTTGCTTGATATTCAAAGTAGTTCCCACTTGGACAGTTGTAATACAAATGAGCTCCACATTCGTCCAAGCCACCTACAAGCAGAACAATGACAGATTCGTCCAAGCCACCACCAGATTCATCCAAGCCGCTTAAACATGTAAGCTTCATGTTTTTTTTCAACAAGAATGTTATTAATACAAAAGAAAATGAGCTGATCCACCACCATACAAAACATCAACATCCTTAAACCAACATCACTACCACACCACCCAAAAAAATACATTAGTTTTCCTACCATTTCACTTAAATAGTAAAGGGCTAACCAACAATTCTCAATCCAAACATGACATAAGATTGGATAGGATTCAAGGGTAATATTGTTAATTGTTATCAAACATATGAGATGTTTTAAAAATAAGATATATTTTATCCATGGGCCCACCACATCATATACCAAATATGGGATATGATTAAAAAAGTAATTTTTATCCCACTACTAATCCCGGTTATTGGGATTTCATTGGATTGGTTAGGACTTTAAATCCAATCCAGTGTAGTCCAACCTTGATTTGCCAAACATGCCCGGTGTGTTTGGCAAAACTTTGGGGGATAGGATTGGTTTGGATTTTTAATCCAAACCAATTCAATGAAAACCCAATAACTAGGATACCAATGAAGTGGTGTAATCCTATCCTTCATTTGGAAAGTAATTTCTTATATTATGGGGGTCACGGACAAACCATTACAAATCTCTTTACTTTCACATGAATTTACAATTTTAACCTTTAATCCTATTTAAGCCAAAGTCAATGTTGGCTATGGAATTTTATTCATGTTGTCCACTTTTATATTTCATAAAAATGTAACAGTTGTGTCACCAAGTGGAAATACCGAAAATAATTCGATTTTCATTTTCCCAAAAGTTCACAAGTGCGAGCACATTAATTTCCTTGTAACATTGTTCCACATTATTTTGAAAAAAAAAATTAAGAACAACAAAATAAATGATTCGATATCACATAAACATATTTTACATTACGTAATTACACATACCGATATGGTCATATCACATGTTGCCTTCAAGTATACATACAACATGAAGGCAACCATACACACATCATATAACAAATGCATCCTAATTCCATAGATGAAACTAGAAAACATATATGAGTTTTTTTTTTTTTAGAAAAAGAGAAAATTTTATTTCATGAAATCCAAAAATTACAAGAATCAAAGACTGAAACTGTTTAAGCAAAACAGTAACAGTTTAAACACCAAAACACTCAATTGTACAAAACAAGAAAAAAAAACTGATACAGTTTTCTGTTATCAACAAAAGAACCTGTACAACAACTGTTCTTACCCCTGCAGCTCAGTGCCTGCTTTGTCTGATCTATTGCAGCTTCAGACCAGCTTAGACTGCCCTCTGATCAAAAACCATTTGCTGCAAATAATGAATCAGCTGGCTCCTGCCCCTATGCTTACAGCTCAGTTCACACCAGCAACTTGCCAGATCGACAACTACTGATAGAGCAGAGCAGTAAAACAGGCCAACAANTCAGTTCACACCAGCAACTTGCCAGATCGACAACTACTGATAGAGCAGAGTAGTAAAACAGGCCAACAGCCCTTCAATCCATAAACACCCTCCATACTCAGCACTCCAGCTAAATAAGCAGACAGCACAACTACCAGCAGTAAACCCAGCATCAGCTCTAAATCAGTTACTACATCTTCAAAGAGATTAAAACCATTAAATTCTCCATCAAGGACCAACACCCACCCTTCAAAATGCAAAAACCACTCCAAAATGCACATCATACAACATTTCTGAGCTGCATTCTGCAACTTCTACTCTGCACAACCAGCTCCTAGCTTATTTCACACCCACATTCAGCTTCCCCTCCTCACACAATTCCATTTAAATTGTCATAGTCAGCAAACTAAATGGACATATAGATACCAAAAAACTCAACCAACCCCATGTCTTTGCTCACATACCACCCTTTTAAGAAACCTGGCAGAGGGCCTCCTACTCTGATCCTGATGCAAAAGTACTTTTCCAACAAATGCCAACAAATTAGACACACAAGCACAAAAAACCCATACACAACACATCACACACACACACACACAACGACCCACAAATGTTTATTGAACAAAAGAATGGGGCAAACTGTTAGTGTTCAGGAAAAAAAGATGTTGGTGGCTAGAGAAAATAAACAAAGAAAATCACATTCTCAATCGTCAAAAGTGTAGAGGAAGATATATTCAATTCCTATTCCAACTAAATTGGTCAAGTCTTCATCCATACAAGACAAAATAAAGAAAATCACCTTAATTACAAGACACACATAGAACACACACAAACACAAACACAAACATTGCACATTGCAATCTCCAATCTTCAATCTCCATTTGAACAGGCTACTTTAATCCCTAATACACCATCCAATGACTGTATTTCTTTTCCAATTCCAATGACTGTACATAATCCCAATTTCAACATAATCCCAAAATATAAACACACACCAACATAGACACAACACACATACACAAACACAACACACACAAAGACCCACACAAGGGAAGAAATTGAGGGGGTTTGGGAAGGGAAAATAGATGATTAAGGGGGATTTGGGTTTGGGGTTTTGTGTGTGTGCATTTAACAGAGATAGATGAGAGAGATGTGAGGGGAATAATAACTGACATAGAGAGAGAGAGAGGGGTTTGCTGGTGTTGGAGGTGGCGCAGGTGATGCTTGTGGTGCTGTTCGCGGTGGCGTTGCAGTGGAGAGACAAATAGAAAAAGGGGTGGGGCACTGGTGGTGCTTGGTCGCTGGTGGAGGAGTTGTTTGTATAGCGAGAGAGAGAGAGAGAGAGAGAGAGAGAGAGGAAAGTGATGAGAGACGGTAGATACAAACCTAAAAAATTATTGTGGAGGGGTGTTTTAGTAATTTCAAGACTAATCCTGGTAGAAGTTTGTTAATCCCAAACTTTTCATGGGTTTCAATTGTCCGGCTTGTAGGGGATTTTGGGGTCAAAAACTACGGCCGAGTTTTTCAATCCCCAACGAAAATTCCACCCAATTTTACGTATCCAAAACAAGGATATGTGGGTCCCATAGACAATTTTAACCCAATCTCCCATTCAATCTCCCTTAATCCTGCAAAACAAACACCCCCATATAGGTTATATATATGTGTGTGTGTGTGTGTGTATATATATATATCATAACATTAAAAATAAAAAATAGTAACATTCAAATACAAAAAAAAAAGTTATCATTTGGACACAAAAAATAATACAGTTAAATACAAAAAAATAGTAATATTTAAACATAAAAAAATTGAAACATTCAATATTAATATTTTTAAAAAATAACAACAGTAACATGTTCAACAAAAATATTAACATATTCAACAAAAATAGTAACATGATTAACAAAAATTGTAACATACTGAACAATAATTATTTCTCTCAAATTTAAACGCAAAAAATAGTACCATTCAAATATAAAAAATAGTAATATTCAAAAAAAAAAAAATAGTAACATTGAATATTAATATTTAGAAAAATAATTGTAGTAACATGGTCAACAAAAACAGTAGCATGCTCAAAAATAATAGTACATGAACAGTAATATACTCAACAAAAATAGTAACATGAACAGTAATATAATAAAAAAATAGTAACATGAATTTAAATTTTACTATTCAAATTTATAGTAACTTTTTTTTTAATATTTGAATGTTACTATTTTTTTTTAAATGTTACTATATATATATATATATAAGAGAAGAAAAATTTTAATGTTAGTCAAACTCTTAACCTATATATAGATATAGATAGATATGAGAGAGAAAATATTTTATTTCAAGAAATGATATTTTTGAGATAAAAAAAAAATGAACTTAAGTCATTACATATAATTTTAAACATGGACTTAATCTTTTATAAGTTCTTTGCAGGATTTATCTTCAAACAAATACATCTAGGAGGACTCACTTTCAATTTTCACAATTAATTAATCAAAGTGGCAGTTCTTCTTTAGCCTTACCAAAAAACCCAAAACTCAATGGGTCATCCACGGCTCAGAAGCCTAACGGGCTAATGGGCAGGCCAACCCGTACATTTGACAAAGCTCGAGTAGCCTGTTAGCGCGGCAAGTAGGGCTTTTGCCATATTTTTTAAGGTCAGGGTTCGACAGACCGACCTGTTAACAAGCCCGTTAGCCCGCCCGTTAGTCCAATAAGATAATTATATTATTTATTTTATATTTGATTTGTAACTTTTATAAAATTGAGACTTACAAATGATTGACAATTGTGTAGGTGTCAGTCTAATTGAGATATACTTAATTTGTAGTGATGCAAAATAGTCGCATCCACCAATCAATTTGTAATGTAACATTATAACTCTATATGAATATTTGTTAAATTCAATCAATATGAATAATTTTTTTGTTAATTTATTTTTTTATACTAACTTCCTGTAATTGTTTTTTTTTTTGTATTTTTTATATAAAAATAAATTTTTTGATATCTTTATGTATTTTTTTTACATAAAAAATAATTTTTTAATAAAAAGCCCGTTTTAGGCCCAATGGGGCGGCCTATATTTAGCCTATTTTTGGCCCAATAGGCCAGGCCACAAGTAGGTCATGGGCCTTAAAAATTTTTAATGGGCAAGTCCGCCCGACCCGTTGACTAGTCAATCCCCAGAGGCCTGGGCCACGGGGGCGGGCTATGAGCTGAAAAATGTTGAGGCCTAGTTCTTTTTCTTCTTTCTGATGAACGATTGTGGTAGTTCATCAGGAGTGCAGTGGCAGAGAGATAAAAAAAAAGGGTCTTAATCATTTTGACTCCCTCACATTTAGAATATTACTTTTATACCTCCTAATATTTGTGCACATATAACATAACCCATTATCATTGATAGCTGTTAAAATAACCGTTAAAAAATATGATTTTATCATAATAAAAAATTATAACTTTATACTATCCTTTATTTATTTTGTGAGCCCGTTATACTCTAAAATTAAAAATCAAACTTACTATTTAAATGTCTAATATAATGCAAGTATTTATATAATGTTATTTATATCCAATGCAATACATCAATTAAACAGAAATATTTGAATACCCAATTGAAAGAATATTTTTAGTCATATTTGGATTCTCAAAAGATATATGTGTAATATTTTAAATGTGAAAGGTCTAACTGATTAAGTGACAAACTTGAGGGGTCTACGTGTAATTTATTCATTTAATTTTAAACAGCAATAGATGACTGTTTGCTTGATGTGCACATTGATATAAATTTTTATATTTAAAAATNGTAAGTCTAAGTTAGATTCTAGTTTCCTCTTTCATTGTTTTCTTGCTTAAGAGAGGTTGCACCCCTTGGTCTTTTCCCAGGATGTACTTGGAAGTTTTTCTCTAGATTTTGACCAAAATACAATTCTTTTGAACCTTCCCTCATTTTTGTACCACAATTTGTAACTATTTCTCAATATATAAAAGCTTTTAGTTTGAACTTGCATTTTGCAATTTAGGAGCATAATTTGAATCCATGTTGTTTTCATGTATAGGTGACAACAAAGAAAATAAGAGAAACAGCCTATGCTAAGGACATCTCCAATCCTTACTTAAATTTAGACTCAAATTTAAATTTGAGTAAAAAATTTAAAAAATTTGCATCAAGTGAGACTCAAATCTATACACAAATCTTTAATTGTAAGATTTCACTATTTTTTAAAGATCCAATGGTCATCCTTACTCCCTTTTAAATTTAGGTTTATCCTCATTTAAACTTGAGTCTATACTTCTTTAAATTTGAGATTGTCCATTGAAGTCCTTTATATCAAATCAAGATTTTTAATCAAATGTTAATTTAAATTTGAGAAAAAGTTTGAGTCAAGGTTGGAGATGAAATAAAAGTGCTGAGACACAACCATTCCCTCTTTTGTTAATACTAGCAATGCACGACATGCGTTGCACGTAAATAAATTTAAATAATAAATTAATTAATTCATATTTTAATTATTAATTTATTTCATATGTCTTTGAGTACCTAATTTATCATTTATTTAGGTATTTTTATGACCCCCTTAGGTATTTGTACACCTAATTATATTATAGCGTTATTAAATTTTTATTTATTTTTTTAAATAAATTGATTAGATCACTTATAATATTATTATATTATTGCATACTAAAAAATAAGTATAATAATTTAACATGAATAGGATTTTATTTCTACATATAGATATAAAATATTTTATATAACTGTACTACTAATAAATGAATTCAAAAGAATTTAAAAATTCTTATAAAAAGAGTTCAAAACAAATTGATAATCAAATAAGAGTAAAAAATAAAAATTAGGTAAAAGTATATAGGTGAGTATAATTTATTTTATTATAATAATTATGAATAAAATCAAAAATCAAAATTTTTTCGCAGATGCTGACATTTATAAGTAAAATATAGATATAGATATAGATAATCCTCACTTTTGGATCTTAAAGACAAGGTTGACCCAATAAAAATTGGAGCCCTAAGCAAACATGTTAAATAGGACCCTCAACAATTTAATATAAATATTAAA